GACACTGGTACTTGCGTACCATGCTGTGAATGGATCTGGCCCTTCCTACATCCAGGACATGGTTAAACCATACACCCCAGCACGTGCACTCCGCTGTGCATCAGCCAAACGACTTGCTGCACCCGCACTGCGAGGGGGACCCAAGTTCCCATCAGCCAAAACACGTTGGTTTGCTATCTTGGCTCCAAAATGGTGGAATGAGCTCCCCATTGACATCAGGACAGCAGAAAGCCTACACATCTTCCGGCGCAGACTGAAAACTCATCTCTTTCGACTCCACTTCGAGCAATACAATTACTAACAAAGCACTTATATACTAATAAAGGACTGGCTTATCTAAAGCCAGTTGAGTAGTACTTGAAATGTTTTGGCTCTATGAAACCTGATGTACTTATATGATTCTGTTTTCTTCAAGTTTGTATCTTCTTGGTCGAATGCACTTATTGTAAGTCGCTTTGGATAAAAGCGTCAGCTAAATGCAATGTAATGTAATGTAATGATTAATGAAAGGGTGTCAGAGGCCTCGGTGTGGTGAGACAAGGAATTCCTAACTTTTCACATGGAATTCACAAATTATGGTAAATATGTGCATCTTACAATATGTTTTTCTCCATTCCTTTAGCTTTTACATTAACAAACACAGACACACACACACACACACACACACACACACACACACACACACACACACACACACACACACACCTTTCTACCTGACTAATGAAGCCCATTAGACTGGATTTTTGTCAGGAACTTTACACAACAAACATCAGCACATTGCTCTCTTATGCATTGTTCTCATTAAGAATTCACACCTTCTTGTGTTCATGTCAGATGATCTCAAACTCTCATCTCAGAGGGATCCTCCCAATCAGAGGTGTAAAGGACATCATCCATGCTCCAAAGCAAACATATGATGTAAGATCCAAACATCAACACATGATGAAAACTCTGATGAAGGAGATGAAAATAGTTATCATCCCATGATGGAAGTTGCATCTTCCACTGAAAAGACAAACTTATGAATTATACATTTTATGCAGTTGCAATTCATTTAAAAAGTTTAAAGTGCATAGGCCCGCAGCAAATATTTAGATAACACCCCCTCTTGTGTTTGTTAAAATCTGAGCTTCTTTGTGATTTGTTTTGTACCTGCGCCGGCCACTCGTGCATGTTGGTGCGAGTCCCTTGCTGTGTCTCAATTCAAATACTTCCCTTTGAACGCTGTCTTGTTAAATAATGTAAACACTTGCGCATTGCGTGAATTTCAACCAGGTAGCGTTGTCTCAAATCGCACATGGATGCTGTGCCCTACACAGGATTGATGCTAGATAGCTAGCTAGGGAGCAACATTTGCTGTACCAAATCATTACATTACATTACATTACAGCGACTGCTCAATAAACCTTAATACAATGAACAGTAGCTTCCTTTTAACAACAGTTTGAAGGTACTGCTTTTAAATAGTGAAAAAAGCCAACTTTATTACTTTTATGTGTTGAGTTTTTTTAACTGTTCTTGCTGTTAGCACCATTAGCTTAGCCCTTACCATGTTGAGATCTGCATGGAGCCAATAGGTGCATTCACACCGGAGTACTTTGGTGTACTTTTCCCACAATAGTTAATCAGAACTACGATATATTTGCGTTCACACCAAAAAGCCCCAGGAACAAAAGTAGCTCAATTTAGTTTGTCCGACCCGCTTTTCAGACCCTGCTAGAGAGCAGGGACTGTCGTGGGAGAAAGTAGTTCGTACGTCTGATTGGCTGTGCGGAATGCAAACCACGCCCGTTTGACTCTGAATTTTTTGTTGTAAGCGGCCATTGTATTTGCTCGCTTCGCACAGCACACCCGAAGAGATTCCTTTTGTGAAAGCAGTTATTATAGCAACACTAAATAAATCAATTGGAGCGGTGGAGTGATGAGGATGTGTCTGCGCTTCTGGCGATTTACTCGGAGGACGCATTCAGAAGCTTCTACTGAATGCAGTTTCTGTGGCTCTGCAAAGTTAGCAGACCTGGCAAAGTCATGTCGGGACGACTACCAAGGTAAAATAAAATACATGCACTGCACTGTTTTAATCTGCACAATACTGGTCTTATATGTACTTTTATTTGCTCAGTAGATCGAGCTAGCAATGCTAGAACTTGCTAACGTTAGGTCCAAGCTGGCTAACAACATCTAGCTAGCTAGCTATTCTCATCCATGCCCGCTATGAACACGTTTTGACTTGTGAATAAGTGTGCAATGTTCTGTAATTTGCTTCACTAACTCATGGCACTAATCGTGTGTTTCAGGCGAGGTGTTTCTCTCAGGATTAGAAACTAGTTTTCCCCTCCGGGATACAACGATAATATAACGTTAGCAATTAGCATGCTAGCTGGACATAATGCTACCTCTAACAATACATTGTAGTTGCTATAATTTCAAGTCATTTGCAACATTCATTCTACATGTTAATGGTAAAAGCTTAAACAGTTGATTACCTGCATGCCACAAAGACTGATGTTCTAATATTTTTGCACATTTAAGTAGAAATGTAATTGAAATTCTATTTATTTTTCCTTTTTTTTATTGATTGTTATAATTGTACTGAGCCATGTTATGTTAGATGTCAATCCACTTACACTGTAACTACTCTGGCCTTGAAAGAAGAAGAAGGTGATATAACTATTAATAAGTAAAAGTAAATCGAAATATGTATTGCATCACCGCTGCTTAGAGTTCATGCACAAGTCATTTGCTTGATAATGAATTGATGCATTGTAGCAATAATTGTAGTCAATATCAAAGAGAGATGTAATTTCGATATTTCAGTCCAAGCTTGATTGGCCCAGCTACCTCAGTATATGTGATGTATAAATAAAAGGATTACATGAAAACGGTTTGATCTTCTATCTCAGAGTAAACTGGACTATTAATCAACATTTTGCCTCGTTGTTGCGATTAAACTGATCTTGTATCTTGCATATTTCACCTTAGGAAAGTGGGCACGTGATGACAGCTTCCTTGACACCATCATGGCGATGGACCGCCGTGCCATGGTCAGCAAGGAGAATGAGGACCTGCGTGCCAAGGAGATGCACGACGAACGGCTGCTGCATTCACACAAGGCCCAGGAATCGAGGTGGAGCAACAAAATACCTTTCAGGATGGGCTTCTGGCAGTGCTAAGCGAGCTGATTAAATCCAACAGGCATTCAATACAAAAATTAAGAAAAACTTGTCGTTGATAAACTGTACAATGACTTGTTGGGAGGCGTGTGGTGCAGTGGTCTGGTGCGTTGGTGTTCGGATCAGGGGAGCAGAGGTTCAAACCCCACTGCAGTCAGGATGTCGTTGTGTCCCTGGGCAAGACACTTCACCCCAAATTGCCTACACCTGGGACAGTTAATTTTGTATTATTGTGATTATATATATATGCCACTGTTATTAATACTGACACCTAACTTTGCACTAAGGTGTGTCTGCTGCTGAGCCTACCTATTGTTATATATATATATATATATATATATATATATATATATATTGCCACTGTTATTATATTGTTTTGATACTACTGACACTTATTGATCTGCTGCTGATAAATAAAAGAGAACCTACATGCACGGCACTAGCATCATGACTGTCTTTGTTTAAACCAGCAGCAGTGCAGCGGTACACAGACTAACCTGTGTGTGTGTAACGTAGTTCTTCAGGTGTGCATGCTTAACATGTATGTAACATGTATGTATACAAACGTTTTTAAAGAGCTTTCAACCTCATCCCATTGTCTTTAACACACATTTAACATAATATACTCATTAATATACAAATATACAGTATGAGTAATGTTTTGATACTGACATTTAATCTTTGCACTAAGGTGTGTCTGCACTATTGTAATTGTGTCTGTTGACTGGTAAATAAAAGAGAGAACCAAATGCACTGTACAAAATATCAGCTTTATTGTCAATTTACAATTTCCATGCTGTTCAGATGCCTCTCCACAACGTTGCTTCCAGGCGAATACAGAGGAGTTGAAAAGAGCCCTTGGACATTCGGAAATCTTTGATCCACTGCACATCCTCCCACCAGGCCGACGTTCTATTGTTCACCCAGAGTTCCGTAGTATTCGCATATCTGGAACACATACAAAGACACAAATTAGCCCTACATAACTCCATAAATCCTACATTAGATAGTATTAATGTGATTTAATGAACGTACCATTGCTGTTCTTTGGGCGTGATAACGGCCATCATCCTCGGCTGTCCAACGGCGAAACATAGCGTGTGCTTTCGTCGTCCAATCCTTTTGTTAAGGCTTCTTAACCGCCTTCGCCTCCGACTCAGCATTTCTATTGCATTTGAATGGTCGATCTGTATTTGTATTTGTGGCTGAGTTATTGGCTTAAATAACTCCGTTACGAAGCTGTATAACACGACCTCCATACCGTGTCTGAGGTCGGAAGGTAAACAGAAGCATACAGCGGAAGCGGAAGTTTTTTTTCTTCTTCTCTCGGTTTTTTGGCGAATTGCAAGTTTAAGGTGCATACCGCCACCTACTGTACTCACCGTGAAGTTGTTTGCGGCCTGCCAGTAAACCCAAAGCAGAAGAAGAAGAAGTGACGTCAGCGGCTCATTTGCCTAATCCACCCCCAGGAACTCATTTTGGTGTGAACGCGATCTGCTTTAGTTCATCAGAACTAAAATAACTCTCATGAACTATAGTTTTCATGAACTACTGTGGGAAAAGTACTTGGTGTGAACGCCCCTAATCACAATGTTTTGAATTCTGTACAGAGAAATTAAAATAAATGCATTATGTGTTTTAACACTGTAACCCTTATGATGCAGATGCTCAGAAGAGGCCTTCTGATGATGGATTACCTTACAAATGCAAATGCTGAAAACCAATGCATATGTCATACTTTCTACATACATACAGTATACATTTATTTTTTAAAGTATTCATTATAACTTCAAGTACAAGTTTACAAGTAAACAGGAGTTACTGTAGCATCACAGCTAGCATACATGTAAAAAAAAATGACATTTTTAGTGATGCAAATGATAATCAAGATGTATGTTCTGGATGTAGGTATGACCTTGAGTTGTTAATGTCAAAGTGCTTCAGATTCAGATGATAGAGTACTTAAGAGAAGAAGGAGAAAAACTGAGCACAAGTAGACTAAGGAACAGTGGCTATGCTCGTGAACCTGCTATATTTACATCAGTATATTTAAGTTTGACAGCTGGAACGTTCAAACAAATGACTTGAGATGCTTTTGTTTCTTTTCAGGCATTCCCACACCCTCACTGACATGTTTGCAATGCCTGCAGTTCACAGACCGTCAGACACCGGCTGCTTTGTTTTTTGTGTCAGCCTACTTGTGTCTCATATTCACTGTGAGCGTGAGAAGAGTGATCTGTGTTTCTGTTCAATGAGACTCATTCCTGCTGCAGACAGTGAGTGAAAAACTCATTACCAGATTTCTATAAGAATAATTGTGTGTTAGGATTTGCAGTAGGCCCATTATATCTTTATTTTTCTTAAAAGTTATTTTGCCAATATTATTATCCTGCTCTAGCATGTGACACATATTTATTTTAGAATACATAACATGACCTCTATAAACCTTAATTGTAGATGTTATTGTTATAAATCATACCCATATCTTCACTTTTTTTGGACATAGGAACTATACATATACTGTACATGCATGCATTTTCTGTATAGCATAGTTCTGTATCAATACACTTACATTTATATCATGTCTAAATATAAAACATTTTTGGCTTTTAGTTTGTAAGAAAATGTTGCATTGATAGAAAAAAAGTTTAAAATTCATAATAAATTGCAATATATATATATATATACATATATATATACATATCCAATCAAATCAATAACATCAGGGTGCCACATTGCATACATAATACAAGCATGTTCGCTTTAGACAGTCTCTGTCTCACTCTGCTGTTTATCTGCAGTTGTTGCAGGACTTTTCCACTCATTTACAATAGAAATATTTGCAATTATGATAACAACGGCATGAAAAACACCCCCTCATTACATGATGTGGCCGAAGATGAAGCACGATGGCTACCCACAGTAGATGTCCACAGGTGAACACGGCCGAGGAGCTTTCCGCATTTCTACGTATGTGGAGTTCTCAGGATCTGTGTCGCTGCACTGAAACACAGAAACAGAAAAGCAGCACATTTATTACTGTTTTATTCTCGTCATGTAACTTAATGAGTAAAAACAAGCCCCCAGTGCTAGTGATATATGAATTAAGACAATATATGACTTGTAACTGCCATAAAGAAAAACTTAGTTCAGTTCAAAAGTGAGTAGGAAATCAGGTTGACAGAGAAAGTAGAAATTGTAGGGAGTAACTTATAGTTTTATAGACCATTCCTTATTTTGCCAACATTTGGGAGGCATTAGTATTGATATTGTGGATCCTAGTAAATCATTTATTGCCCTGTCTCTGTGTTTTCCCGCCTGTCTGATGGTCTGATTCTTTTCACCTGCTACTCATGTGTTTCTGCCTGTCCTCCCCAGCTGTGTCTTGTCTTTGTGATTTGTCCTGTGTGTGTATATAAGTCTGTCTTGTGTTCGTTGTCTTTGTTTCCGTCTGGTTCCGGATGTGTGGTGTTGTTTTGTACCTGCCTGATTCCCTACTATTCAATATAATCTTCATATATCTTAAGAAATAAACCATGAGCGTATGCATTAGGTCTTGCATTTAGTTTTTACACTTCAAGTCATATTCATCTCGATGCTAGAAACTCTAGCAAATGTCACAAAAAGCTCTCTGGGAATTACACTCCACCGGCTTCACACATGAGTCAAAAGTTTCCCAGACTTTTTGTGGCTGTACCTCCTTTTCTTTGTCAAAGTTTGCATCATACTCTGCCGGTAGCTTGTGCATTTCTGTGCCAGTAGGGTGTAATGCAGGCAACGACAATGATGACAGATTGATTGATTAACATATGATACAAGGTGAAAGCCCTCTCTAGCCTGTCAATCAAATGATGACAAAATCATCTCAATCATCAGAGCTTGGCAAGGCGGGAAAACACAGAGACAGGAAGTGAAACAAGATAGGAGAAAATACATTTAAAAATAAAACAGGAAACCCAATCAACCCCAGGATTATGACAGAAAGACAGGTACCGTCAGTCTGATGTAGAAAGCGGTGATGAGACAGCTGTACAGGAACATCAGAGCCAGCAGACCAATCAGAATCCAGCTGAGCAAATGAGATGGAGGTGAAGATGGAGGTGAAGATGGAGGTGAAGATGGAGGTGAAGTTGGAGGTGAAGGCGGAGGCTGAGGCGGGCAGGTCACTTCCTTTTGACCTTACAAAAAAATGGAAATACAATTTCCTGTTTGTATATTACTGGTTTAAACATCGATTCAGTGTTGAGGTGTTGGATCAGTAGCACAAACTCAAATACAGCTTCAAGTTAACAACATCCCGAATGAACAGAGATGTATTTAGAAAAGGAATATTTTAAATAAACCCAATAAAGGTTGCTTTCAAATGTGAGTATTTTTGAGTCTGACACATAATTTATTCAATCAACATTTGAATACTACTGCTTGGTTTTTCGTTTATTAAAGACAGTTACTTTATAGAATATAAAATAATATGTTAAAGAAAGTATTCAGACATGTCACAGAAAATTACCACATTGTAAAAGAAATTCCTGTATGTATAATGAAAAGTTAAATCAATCAAAACGAATAAAGCTTAAAATCCTCATATTTAAGAAGCCATGACGAATTTTCAACGAAAGATTACTATAATAAGGGGGGGAGTGTGTGGGAGAGAAACTTCCACTGGAGGGAACACAGGGATTTTAGCCTTTGCAGACCATTTACATGCACTAAATCCTATTTAACACACAGGAAAAGGAAAACCCCCAAAGTCCCCTTTAAATAATATGTAAAATAACTCATATTACAAGTAAGTAAAAAGATCCCTGAGCTATAAAAACATAAAGGAAAAGTAAATTACAAGTTTCTTAGTTTTGTATTTTAGTAGACTCACTATGCATTTCACATAAACATTGTATTGTGTTGTATTTCCTCATTGCCTTGTATTTACATACCTGAAAGGAGTATGGTTACATCTCCTAACTCGGTTTTATCCAACCCGCCTTCTTCAACCCGTGCATTTCACAAATTGCAGTACCCATAAGGAGCTGTACAAATGCCGCAGTTTTTGCGTGGCTGTGTCTTTAGTTGAAAGCCCAGTGGCGATCTGCTCATCTCTCATCTAAATAATATGCTACAAAGGGGCGGACTGGCCATCTGTGTGTTGAACTTTCCTGTTCGGCTCCTAGACCGTAGTCGAGAAAACAGGGGGGGATGACTCTCTGTCGTCTCCCAGGGCAGAAGCAACAAGCTTCAGGTTCAATAACCCACTTTAGCTTAAATGACAGGAGAGAGGCGAGCTCTTCTCGGGAGGCCGTTGCATTTATTTAGTTGTTCTTCTGTTTCAGAAACATACAAACGCTTGCTCACTCTCGCTCTACCATCCACACACACATATGCACACGCCACACCCCTCTCTCTCTTTCTTATACCTCATTCACACCAACGGTGTTTCAGGGCCGGTTCGGAGCTGCAGCTTGAAAAGCACCGGGTGTTCCTGTTCACACCGCAGCGGTGCAGCCTCTTAGCTCCGGAATCCGGTTTGTTTCAAGCACCAAAAAATTGTCCGGCTAGAGCAAAAGCACCGCATACGTCACACTTATGTCGAGGCGGGGGCAGGGGGAATCGGAATCGTCGTTGAAGTTGATGATTACGATTGTAAAGTAGTTTTGAATGTAGCATGTAACGACTGTAAAGTTGGTAGTAAAGTCGTCCCATTTCTTCCATTTCGTTTCGACAGAGCAAAACCAAAACGAGTAGCGCTTCAACACAATCGGCCATTGTTGTTGTTGTCGGTGTGAGCTGTGAGGGGTTTCCGCGCGGTTAGGCTTTATGAAGCAGGCACGCAAATGGTTACGTCATGACGCAAACGATGAATCAATGACGCAGCACCAGTCGGACTCTGGGCGGTGTGAAAAGAGCCGGAGCTAAACCGAAGAACCGGTTCTGAACCTGAAAAGCTCTAGCACGGAGCTTGAACCGGAGTTGCGTTGGTGTGAATGAGGAATTAAAGGGACAGCGATCTCATCTCACTCTGCATGACCCTAATATCATAAAATGTGTGTTCTGGAGAACCACAGAACGGTCCTTTTTATTATGCCATTTAAATCAATTATTTAAATTTGATTGTTAAATTCGGCATCCTGTAAGTTTTAAGGCTCCCGCCGCCCCCCCTGTTGACAATTCACGACCGTCGGCACGCTGATAACAATTATTTTTTGTAATGGCACTTCATATCAAAAAGGTTGCTGGCCTGCACAAGTGCTGTGTGCCTTCAAGCTAGCCCTGAGTTGTAATATGACATATGTTTTGAGTTTGTGTATAAGTTTGCTCACATTTTGGTAGAGCCCCCCGTGGAAAAAAATGCACCACCAACAAATAACAATTGTCCGGTACCGGGATTAATAAAAGTTGTGAGGACAGGAGGCGGAGGCGGAGCCCCGCGGACCACAGCTCTCTCTCTCTCTCTCCTCCCGTGCCCCTCTTCTTCTCTCTCTCTCTCTCTCTCTCCTCCCTCCTCTCTCTCTCTCTCTCTCTCTCTCTCTCTCTCTCTCTCGCTCTCTCTCTCTCTCTCTCTCTCTCTCTCTCTCTCTCTCTTTATTCAACCAGCTCACAAAGATATAACAGATGCCATCACATTCTACATAGCTAAAGACATGTGCCCAGTTACCATGCTTAGCATCCAGGGGTTTAAGCAACTGGTTAACACTATGGACAAGCGTTACGCGATGCCATCTTGGCATCATTTCACCAGATCTGCACTGCTTTCCCCAGGGTTCGAGTTATAATCTGAGCTTCATGGGGGTCTTTAAAACGAACGTGTTTGCACACATGCACACACACACACACACACACACACACACACACACACACACACACACACACACACACACACACACACACAGCAGCAGCAGTCCTCTACTTGCTACAAACTTAAATATAGAAAGGTTCAACTACGCACACCCCATAACACATCATCTCGGCTCGCGCAGCACGCTCACAGGCATAGATTACCAATAATTTATTGCGCACCTTGGAGGTGAAGTGCAGGCATATTGTCATTCAAGAGAGAATACGATTCGTAGTTCTTTTGGAAAACATGATTTTCTTTTAGCCTATTTACCTCGTTAACGTAAATAATACTCGTTACATTGACACATGCATTATTTGTGATTAAAATAATGGTAGTTGGTAATGATTTCCCTGTGTTCATGGGAGCTCAGGCCCCTCCTTGTGGGAGCTCAGCTCCCATTAGCTCCCACATAACTTGAACCTTGGCCTGCCCTTTATGACAAAGGCCTTGGGGAAGTTGAAAAAGATGTGGCTTCAGCTGAATACTTTGCCAATAATCTAATACATTTTTATTTATTATAATTATTATGTTCAGTAGGATGTGGAAGTGCGCCCCAAAATATTTGTTGATCTTCTTTATTGGTATTTATTAATTTTATATTATTTATTTAAATGTAGATATAAATGTATAATTTATTTTATTTATATTTGTATTGGTTTTTCAGTTGAATTATACTTAAGGTTCAGGGTAATCAACTGTTAAAAAGATACTGTTCAAATTATTATTTATTTATTTTTTAAAGTTCAATAAATTGATGTTTTCAAAGTCAATGAATAATCATATTTAATAATCGTGATATCAATATTGACCAAAATAATCATGATTATGATTTTTGCCTTAATCGAGCAACCCTAGCGAGGTCCCAATCATCGCTGCTTGAAGCTTTCATTCTTAGTCAGCCTATATATTATGAATGTTTTCCTACATTTTAATCCCTCATTATTGACGGCAGCCTCACCGCTGATTGGCTACCGTGCGAACGCGTCATGCGAATTTGAAGCTCGAGTTGAAAAAAATTGAACTTGAGCGGCCCCCTTCAATCGCCTCAATCGCACCACGTCATGCGCGTCAACCGCGTCATGCGCACCGTCGGAGCGAATTCGCGTCTGTACGCGTCTCTGCATTGACTTTACATGTAATCGCACCGCTCCCAAGAATCGCATCGCGTCCGTTGTGAACGCAGCTTTAGAAGCCCCCCTGCCATTTATTACACCATGAATCCAGAGTAAATTGCTTTTGTATGGTAAAACATGAATGTAATAACTAACACCAGGGTGATTTTTGTGAGATGCATGGAAGCAAGACCTTTTGGATTTTTTTCTAAATGAAATCCAGGGACATTTTTGGTTTTGCGGTCCTATTAAAGAAAAAATTGGGACAATTCTGTTTTAATGTAGGCTAGTTTGACCATTGTAACTTCTGTGCAGACATACAGATAAAATTGGGCTATTAAGTAAGAAGCCAGGCAGGCATTTGGTATGATCACCATAGCCATATGAGGCCGGAGGACTGTCCTTTGCTTTCAGCTGTCAGATTGTAAACAAAGTCACGTGACTGGGGGCAGATAACAGCACTGACAAATTGTGGGCTCATCATGTTTATTCGGCCACAACAGAAAAAAAAGAAACCTCTTGCTCTCTCCAGAGGGGCAGGTCAGCCAAAAAGGGAAAAAGGGCCATTGCCCGGGGCAACATTAGCCCGTACCTGTGCACGTCCCTGCCTGACAGTATCAGGATATCAGCAGCTCTCCTCCTGAGCTGAACACTCTGAATCCCTGTGTCCCTTTCCTGAGTCATCTGGGGGCTGCCAGAACTTTCTTGAGACGAACAAACAGTCAATCTCATTGGCCTTCCCAATCTCTTGGCTTTATGTTCACTAGCAAGAACCACGCCACAACAGTGTGATGTTTGTACGTTTATTGAAGTAACATGTGAAGGATATGAGGGGGGTGAAGAGATGATCTGGGAGGACGAGCTATGGTCCGAGCAGTGGGAGACTCAGAGTGGGGGTTCCGTCTTCGGCATGATCTGCGTGGACTGATTACGGGCCCCCAGACGATACCTGGAATTTAATGTTAGTATACGCAGTATATGAATATGCACCATTTAAATATAAATGGTGATGGACAGAGGATGTTGGGATGAAGGGATGGAGGGATGAGGGAAGGAAGGGATGAGGGATGAGGGATTTGTAGGATGGAGGGATGAAGAGGGATGGAGGGATGAGGGATGAGGGATGGAGGGATGAGCCGGATGAGGGATTGAGGGGTGAGGGCTGAGGATGCGGGATGAGGGATTGTAGGGGATGAGGGATGAGGGGACTGTAGGGATGAGGGATTGACAGTGA